TTTAGCTTGGAGGACGTCAAGAAAAGGCGATGAAATTAAATAAATGAGATATATTTACATGTGTAGATTGAGAAAGAAAACAACCCGACGAATCAAGCAGTAAATCAATCTTTCAATTGGAAATGAGCAAATATACACTGCTCGGCAAAGCTTGCTTTTTCGAATAGATTCTAGAATGCCCTATGGACGTCCATTTTTAGTATGATATCCGTATAGGTATTTATTTGAAATCCTTTATGTATGACCTCTTGCTTCTCTCTATTTCGGTCTCATATTTACCGAAGACAAGATACAGGAATGGACAGCAGCAAGAAGTTGCCTGACGGTACTGCGAAAGAACTTCAGCAGCTTCCGAACGACATCGATGAACAAAGATACATTGAAATTGCTGAACAAACGATGGCGGCTATTGCCGCTCAAGGACCATCACCGACCGTTAATAGCACGCCTTCTGCAGAACGTTTTCTTCCAGAATTACCTCGCTATCAACCTCCGCCCTTACCTCTTCATTTTGACATGCCTCCCCACATGCTGAATCGCACTTCGCATGCTGTTTGCCGCATGCTGTTTCCCACTTCGGGTCATTTGGGTTTTGGCCTATTAGAATATTCCGAGGAACAACCACCGATCGAGACAGTTCGCGAGATGATCGTTTACGAGACACGCCTTCGCTTGTCCGATTCGATTCAAGAGCTCATGGATTTGTACCATAATGATGAGGCCGCTGTGACGTGAGTTTTACAAATTTTTCCCTGTCTAGCATAGCGACTATTGTTATTGAATTGTAGTCTCGTGCACGATATTATTCAACAGCATGTAGTGGAACATTTTGGCTATCGACATGTGAATGCACTACGCACTGCTTTGTATCGCTTTCCAGGTGACTCTGTCATCAAGGCAGCTTTCTATGGTAAGTTAAATGTTGTTTATTATTTAAAACTACTTTCAAGTTTTATGCCTGCTTCACAAACAAACTCAAATTAGATCCTTTTCACTTCAATTGAGTAACCCGCTAATACATGGTGAGAATGTTTTTGGGCTCGTATTACACCTAATCGTTTCGTATACAGTTTATCAAAGTTTTATATCTTTTATGTTTCATTCGAATGTTCGACAAGAGTCAGCATATGAGGCAATATATTAGACCTTAGACACAATCTTGATCGGAGACATTTTTATCAATCTTTCGGCCACATTTACTCCTATCGCACAATAGGCAAACAGAGGCAACAGAGGTGGCGTTTCTTCGAATCCCCTCTTTGTTTACAGGGCTTTCGTACAAAAATAACAGAACTTTCGTTCCAAAAACCCTTCTTTTACAGAACTTTCATACCTATTTTTACAGAGCCTTCGTAACACTATTAATAGGGTCATATCCTCTTTATGAGATAGTCAGTCACTAAGATCACTAACAGGGCTTTCATAACAATAATGCAAGGGATTAATCTCTAGTAGATGCTCTGCAGGGCTTTCGTAAGACTCTTTTTATACGGCTTTCGTAACGGAGTCTATATGTACTTTTTATCCCAGATATAAATGATAATGACATTTTTAACGAGTAAATGTAGTTAGAGAAATGTGGTAAGATTAACGAGGTTGTTACGAAAGTCCTGTTAGAGGACATTAATCATCAGCTATTTTACCGTAAAAAGTACATACAGGCTTCGTTACGAATGCCCCGTTAACGAGTGTTACGGAAGTCCTGTCACAGTACCTATTTAGACACTAATCCTTTTGCATTATCTTTACGAAAGCCCTGTCTTTTTTAATTTATGTCTTTTTACCGTGTACGAAAGTCTTACTTTTTACCGACCTTTCGTAATGCTAAGGGATTCCATAAAAGCTAACCAAAACAGACTTTTCTTCAACTTTTCATGTATTTCTGTTATGTATTTATCGCTTTCGACCAGCTAAATCTCTCATAATATGGAAAAAGTTTTTGAAAAAAAGAATGTGAGGCGAAAACTTGGTTCCGTCTTTTGGATAAAACTTTTTTCGTAAAAAATGTTTTGTGCAACATATTATTGGACTCAGTTCTATGTATGGTTCTGAACATCATTCTTTTTCCATTCGAAGGATTTCTGGTCTAAGAAAGATCGATTTTAGCTGAGAAACTTTTGTGGGAAAATCTACAGTGCTCTTTCGAAACGGTTGTGCTATATCACCATCATTTTATCGAAACAGAATGGCTATAAAAATATCGTAGCAAAGTTTGATTAAAATTGAGAATGAATAATTTAACGAAAATACTGAGGCTCTCTCTCAAAGATTATAGATCTCAACTAAAAAACCTTCTCACTAGTCGATTGGGAACAATGTCTAAATTTAGCATATACGTCGTTTGGATCTTTAAGTCGCTTGATTCTTTTGTATATAAAAACAAATATCCTAACGATAGCATTATTTTCAGCATAATTTTTTACTAGCTCTTTTTCTATACTTCTTAAAGCTTGTAACAAAACCTTTTATGTCCTCAGATGCAGAATGTTTTGAAATCTATTCGCCATTACTAATCAGCTTTTGTTCCTAATGGGACATCAGGAGCAAAAGCCGATTGGTTAAGACGTCGACAGACAAATTTTTCGGTTTTTCATTGTTTTGTTCTTTTATTTCAGCGAATTTTGAAGTATTGTGATTTTTAGGAGTCCTATGACGTATTTTAGCTTCCGGAACGTTTCGAGCAAGTCAAAACTCTTAGCTCGTTTTTCCGAAAAAACCACAAGTATTAGTCATTACTGTTCAAATATTTTCGGGTATCTCCAGCCGAGCTGCCGCCTAAGAAAAACAAGGAAGACTCTGTACGATGAAGCCACCAATTTTTTCGAATCGATCTGTCGGTGATCAAGTTATCAGTGCACTCTTCTATTTGTCACTGTCTAAACTGGGAGAAGGTTAACTTCTACCTTTTTACCGAATGTGGGTCAGAATGCACTCTACGTCTGTTGTGTCGCATGGAATGACATTGGTGGGAATATATCAGTTTTCTCTTACTTTTTCTGGCCAAACTTTGTGTGGCATGCACGGCTAGATATATATATATAGGGCTAATTGTTTAGGAGATTTAAACTCTTGGTGTACCAGACAATCAGACAGACGAGATCTGATGAAATATTTACAGTGCGATCAGTTCTGCGTCGATATAGGGCAAAAAATAAAAATTTACTTAGGGAAGTAGTCACTTGTAAAGCTATATATGAAGCTAGTCGATCTCTTTTTGAGCTGTGTATGTCATGTGCATGGCATCTTCTTTCTAGCAGATAGAGTGACTATTCATGTGGTTTTTTAACCATTCTTCTCCTCGGAGTTCATATCTAAAAGTAATGAAAAAGGGTGTCGTCTAGCTAGTGGCGGTTTCCGTGGGCGGTTGAAATTTTCAGAGGGGCTGTTGGCTAAAACAATTTTTGCTAAAACGGAATCAACTGTTTATTTTCGGGTGGGAGGCGCCCACTCGATCCATCCACACTTGATAAATCACTGCGTCTAACTGCTGACCATTGAGTTACAAGGTATTCGCAAAAAAGGCTTTTGAATTAAATTTTCTTTTCTACTCATTTTCAGTACAGCACAATAAAATCACTCAGGGCGTGATTAATCAGAGTCAATGCGCTCGTGATGTTGATTTATTCACCCTGGACGGTCATCCCACGACCCTCTTCTCCCAAATATCAGCAGGCCAACCGTTGGTGTTGTTGGCCGGCTCAATTACCTGACCTCCGTTTCGGGCGTCTGTTGAGCGGATGAAGTAAGTCATTCTTTTTCATCTTGCGTAAATAATTAATTTTCGTCATCAATACTAGCGCGCTCTTTCGCTCGCATGCGCCCACTGGAATGCGGCTGTTGGTGATCTACATTGCCGAGGCACATGCACGTGATCAATGGCCTGTAGGCAAGACTATTTCGTGTGTGGATCAACCGACGACAATCGATCAACGACTGAAAAATGCTTCTCAATTCAGAAAGAACTTCAACTTTGAAATGCCCATGCTCGTCGACAACATGGACAATACTTTTCATACTATCTATGGATCGTGGCCATTTCGCTTCTACGTTATCCACGATGGCAAATTAGCATTGAAAGCGGAGCCCGGTGAACAATCTTTAGCCTACGATATGGACGAGCTTGACGCATGGATCGTCAATTTCTACCAATCCCGTCGTCCAATCAATTAAAGACTCTGTTATTTAAATTCTATTCACATTCTACTTTCTCCTACTCTTTCGTTTCTTCTTCTTCATCTACTCGACACTCCTCGATCAGTAGAGAATTCGACGTGAGTCAATGACGACTGCGTGCCCAAATCACATTTAGTGGATGTCCGCAGTTTGATGAAAATACGTTGGATTTGAAGAGGAATTTTGCGCGTTAAAATGTCGAGTAGATGAACGAGGCAAACGAAAAGAAAGGTGGAAGAAGAATCAAACATGTGCTTGAGAGTCAAATCGAATTATTTTTTAATAAAGATGCAATTAATCGGAATCATTAGCTAAAAGGGAAGGGGCATATCAGAAGACTCGGGTCTACTATTCTATCCTAGCAAGAGAGTCTTCTATTATTTCCTTAAAAGAAACCATTGTTTTTGCGCAAATTCTTTGCGCGTATACGTTATGTGACGCCTACGAGCCATTGCACATAAGCCACGACAAGCCAAGCTCAATGACTATTTCAGATATTTTTCTAAGTAGCCTCATCTTGTAGAACATGGACGAAAACTTACAAATCCAAATTTGTAGGCTTCCCGAACTTTTCGTTCCGTAGATATCAAATTTTTTCTACAGGAGTAAAGTTCGAGAAGTTATGCGCGTGAAAAACCTACAGTTCAGTTTTCTCGTGAACAAGAAGAGATGAAACCGCGATTTTTTCAGGATAGGTAGTACCTGATGTCTACCATANTCAGATATTTTTCTAAGTAGCCTCATCTTGTAGAACATGGACGAAAACTTACAAATCCAAATTTGTAGGCTTCCCGAACTTTTCGTTCCGTAGATATCAAATTTTTTCTACAGGAGTAAAGTTCGAGAAGTTATGCGCGTGAAAAACCTACAGTTCAGTTTTCTCGTGAACAAGAAGAGATGAAACCGCGATTTTTTCAGGATAGGTAGTACCTGATGTCTACCATAAGTCGGACTGCTTGCAGTAGATAGTACTCTCAGTGTACTACCTGGAATCACCGTCAAAAGTTTGGAATAAGCAAATTTGTTACAGAAAGTTTTGAGACCGAAGTCGAAGTAAACTGTCGGCATAAGCATTCACTTGATTGTAATGGTGAAAACCGCAGGTCTCTATCGTTTGAAGAAGAAAAGTTATATTCATTGTAAATGTGCGGACTACAATTCGACCTTATTATGAAAGGTTTTAGTTACGTTTTAGAGTTTCTGCAAACTGGTTTTCCCGAAAACGTGTCTTTGGAGGTCTAACTGCTCGCCTCATGTCGACATTCGGGATCAGCATGGTCGATTATCTATCATCCACTAAGTTTCGTCTCGAAAGCGATTTTCGAGTTGGTGGACCTCCCTCGTTAGCAGAATTTCTTCCTGAGGGCGAGGAGCCAAATTGGAGAAGCATAGAAGATGCTATTAGAAAGTATATTCAACGGCCGGAAAAATGAAATGAGATGGATTTTGATCACCTAACTACGTCGTCTGACCGGCGCCGATTTTTCAGTTAAACCTTTATTGGTTTTCCAGGCAACCAACAACCTTCAAAACCCCAAAAAAGCCTTCCGGATTTCTTCAAATTCTTAATTTGTAAAAAACTAAGACCTAATTCAAAAATCGGCGCCGGTCAGGCGATGTAGTTTCTTCTCCTCTTTGAAACAAAAAAAGAATAATGCAATATTAAAGGAGATTTCTTTCTTTTAGAAAATGATTTTGAGAAAATTGTTTCCAACAAGGATTTGAGAAAATGAAAAAGGTTTAAAAAATCGATATGTTGTTAATTTCAGTAAGTAATGAAAAATCATTTGCATGCTGTTTTCACAAGGAGGAAACAGCCCATTATAGACTATCGGAATCAAAATAGAATCATAGATGAGTCAGTTGCAAGTTCATTCTGCCGTTTCAACTTCAGAACGCCAAATTAAAACAAAAGCAGATGCATTGAACCAATTTCCATGAATTTGTTTGTGCGTATATTTTTCGATAGCTCCTCAGAGTTTCTGAAAGTTGTAGCTGTCTATCTCTACTGGATGTGAGGATATCAAGCTCACAGTATTAACACACCCTTAATCTAATCTCTTGTGATCAACCAACGAAAGGTTGTGGCTCTATCAGTTCCAAAATTTCTTTTTGTATTTAGTCATATAGTGTTGAATAGCAATCATAAATGATTTTCTACTCGACTGTCGGTAATCTATTCTTCTAGTGCTTCTCACAGTATGTTCTGCTCATCGACATGTGAAGGTATCCTCGCAGAGTGATTGAAAAAGTCGATTTCCTCAGGGTTTCGCTAACGTCTCATTTTCGACATAAGCATGGTGAATACGGAACTCCCGTCTGCACCCTAAAAAATATTCATACTTAGCTTTTCTTTTAAACAGAAAGTGATTTGGAAGTGCGAAAAGTTCTGTTGTCACATACTTTGTCGAGAGTCTCTCGATTTTGGCTATCACGTGCTTAGAGAACGATTCAGAAGAAGTCGTTTAACTTTTAACCAAATTCATAGAAACCGCAAAATAGAAGAGCTCGTTTCTGATTGGTCCGATCGATTGGCCAATGGGACCTCGGATTACACATCGGACCTCAGATTCGCTCCGGGGGGGGGGGGGGGGGGGGGGGGGGGGGGGGGGGGGGGGGGGGGGGGGGGGGGGGGGGGGGGGGGGGGGGGGGGGGGGGGGGGGGGGGGGGGGGGGGG